TTGGAATCTTCAAAGTGACAAGTATATTTGTATTCAAATGAGGTCACTATTGGCTGGTAGTCTATAGGCTTCACCTATAATCCCAGCACTTGGGGAAGCTGAGACAGGAGGATCACAAATTGGAGCCCAGCCTGGGCAACTTAGTGACTTAGAAAGATTCTTTTTTTATCATAATAAATGGAGTTGAAAACAGGGATGGGGAGATCACTCAGCAGAGAGCTTCTGGGTTCAATCCTCAGAATCCTAAAATTAATTAAAAGGGCCTGGGGATTTAGCTCAATGGTGCCACTGCCTGCCTCGAAAGTGCAAGGTCCTGAGTTTGATCCTCGGTACAAATAATAATAATAATAATAATTAATTAATTAAAAAATAAAAGGACTCAATATACACAGCTCCAGACAGCCAGTTGAACATGGATGCTGGTACACCCAGAAGGTGTGGAAGGTCTGCCCCCTCTATCCCTATCCCTGGCCATCTCTTCATCTGGTGCTCACTGGCATACTTTGTAATATCCCTTATGGTGAATGAGTGAATTTAAGTAAATGATTCCCTGAGTTCTGTGAGCCCTGCTAGCCAAATGATCAAATATAAGGGAGGGGTTGTGGGAGGCCTGACATATGAGGCTTGTGGTTGGCATTCAAAGATGGCGGTTGCCTTGGGACTGAGCCATCAACACATAGAAAAGAACTAGAGGACACCCAGCTTGACTGGCTGCTTAGTGTTTGGGGAAACTCCCCCTCCACACACACACAGTTGTGCTGATTGTTTTTGTTTATTTTTGGTACTGGGGATCAAACTCGGGTCCCTGCGCTTGCACAGCAGGCGGTGAAACCCCTGAGCTAAATCCCCGGGCCAGTTGTGCTGATTGTTAAGTGAAAGTATAGGAGAAACTGAGTTTTTTTTCTTATATCCTCAGAGCACCTTTCTATGTTTCTTTTTGGGGGGGGAGGGGGGTACCGGAGATTGAACTTGGGACCTTGGTGCTTATGAGGCAGGCGCCAGAACCACTGAGCTAAATCCCTGGCCCACCTTTCTGTGTTTCAAGTTTAATAATGTACTCTAAAGTCAATGGTGTTGAAGCTGTTACATCAAACAGACATCTCTTAGACTTGTCATCTTAGTATTTAACATTAAGGCTCACTCCTTTCTTCTTGTGTTACTCTCTATTCTAGCTTTTATGATACATTATCCCAGGTCCCTTCCTTCCTCTCTAGTCATTTTTCAGTCTCATTTGTAATTTTACCTTCCTCTCATCAGTCACTAAATGATGGAGTTACTCAAAGCTTGGTCTCAAACCTTCTCGTCTTCTCATGTTACAGTCTCTCTCTAGCCACATCTTTGGTTTTAATTCCAATCTATATGACACGATGACAAATATTTATCTCAAGCAATTTTATCTGTTAAGCCTCAAGCTGTATATCCAGCCACCTTCTTACCATTTGTACTTGTGAGGGTTCTTAGTTGTACAGACAGGCTTTGACTGATTTGAGGAGAAATGAATATATTAAAAGTCCACAGAGGGCCTGGGATTTAGCTCAGTGGTTCTGCTACCTGCCTCGCAAGCGCAAGGTCCCAAGTTCCATCCCTGGTACCAAAAAAAAAAAAGTTCACATGGTAGCCAACCCCAAAGCACCAGAGCTAGACAGTGAACCCTGCCCCTAGAAACACCGGTACCATGGGACCTGGAGATATTATCTTGATGTAAATGCTAGTGCTGCCAGAAAAGATTCTTTGAGGTTCCTGCCTTTTGGTGTCACAGCTTCCTCTTCAAAGTCGTGGATCTTGCTAGGTGTGGTAGTGCATACCTGTAATCCCAGTACTTGGGAGGCTGAGGCAGGATTGCTGTGAGTTTGAGGCCAGCCTGGGCTACACAGTGAGTTCAAGGCCAGCCTGAACTTCAAAGAGAGATCCTGTCTCCAAAAAATAAAAAAACCCGGTGCATCTAATTGTTAAAGTGTAGACCATGACCACTATCCTAGTTGCAAGGGATTCTTGGAAAATAAATCACTGGCATTTTTACATTCCACTGCAGAAGGCAGTATCTATTTTACTCCATTTAATCATAAGGTAAGGAATTCTCCAACACAAAGACTTTTAGATGACATGGATACAAAAAGAATGAAGATGTCCAATACGCATCCCAAAGGCACTTCAATCTTAACATGTCCAAGCTGGATTTATTATCTTTGTTGCCTTCCTACTCCGTAAGAAATATAGAAAAAGAATTTGACCTTCTTCCAGTCTTTCATTTTTTACTCAGAACCACCATCCATTCAGTTCCACAAGTCAAAAGGAGCTGCCTTTGACTTTCCCTTCTCCCTCATTCCCCATAGTCAAGTTATTATCTCTAATCTATCTCCATCCACTTCTGTTGATCTCTTTTCCCCATCTCTGCTTCCTTCACTGTAGTTCAACCCACCCCCTCCACCCAGTCTCCCCTGTCTCACTATGTAGAGCATCCTGGTTTAGAACTCACAACCCTCCTGCTTTAGTCCTTGGAGTGCTGGGATTACAGATGTTTGCACCACACTCAGATTTTTAAGATTCCATCATCTCTTAGCTGGATCCCTATAATCTACCCTTCCCTCCCTCTAATTTATCTTCCACACCATCAACTTTTCAAAGTGTTTACCTCACCATGTTACACCCCCCCCCATTTAAAAATACATTAGTGGTTCCAAAGTTCTTAATATGGCTCCACAAAACCATGATGGTCTGACCCATGATTACCTCACCCCTACTCCACATTACAGCCTTATCATCCTTTCCTGCTATGCTCTTTCCAACCAAGCACCTAAGTACCTTTTGCTCCTACTAGCTGGACTACTCCTGACTGTTCACAACTTTCCCTAATAATTCCCACTCCAGATTTCCAATCAAGTATGGTACTTAAACCAGGCACAATGGCACACACCTATAATTCCAGCACTTTGGAGGCTGAGGTAGGAGGATTGCCTTGAGTTCATGACCAGCCTGAGCTACGCAGTGAGACCCTGGTTCATTAAAAAAAAAAAAAAAAAGACTGTAAGGAAGGCTTCCCTAAACAAACTTCTTTCATAAGCCAGTTTTCCCTTTCATCTATGTTCTCATAGTACTTTGTACCTTTCTTTCAGGTTTGTCTCATTTCTGAAGTACGCATTTATTTCATCTATCTCCCCAACTAGACTGCAAGTCCTGGGAAGACAGGGGCCAGGTAAACGTTTTGCTTACCATTGCACTCCGAGAGCCTACAACAAACACTCTACCCATAGTGGGTCTGAATAAGTTTCTGTTAAAATTGGAATGGATTCTTTCCCTTAAGATTTGAGCTGAAAAAGCAGAGTTTAAGGGAATAATAGGTAATTAAGGAGGAGCAGCACTGAGAAGCATAAACTTTAGAAGGTAGGATGAAGGTGAGAGAGGAAACTCCCAACCACCCTTCTTTGTTGCAATAAATACTTTATCACTAACTTGATGTGCTTAATTTTTGTTGGTATTGGGGATCGAACTCAGGACCTTTCACTTGGCAGGCAGGCACAGAGCCACTGAGCTAATTCCCTGGCCCTTGATGTGCTCTTTTTTTTTTTTTTGGTACCAGGGATTGAACTTGGGACCTTGTGCTTGTGAGGCAGGTGGCAGAACCACTGAGCTAAATCCCCAGCTTGATGTGCTCTCTTTAAGAACACTTTTGCAGAACTCTCTAGCATGTTTTATTTTATTTTATTTTATTTTTTTGGTACCGGAGATCGAACTCGGGTCCTTGTGCTTGCGCAGCAGGCGGCGAAACCACTGAGCTAAATCCCCGGCCCTCTCTTGCATGTTTTAGTTCACAAACCCTAATATGAAATGTTTTGTCCCAGGCATGGTGGTACAGCCTGTAGTCCCAGCTACTTTTGAGGCTGGGGCAAGTGAATCACTTGAGACCAGGAACTGGAAGCCAGCCTGAACATCACAGCAAGACCCTTGTTTGTTTCAGAAACAAAACAAAACTTTTGCTATAACGATGTTCAGGTTTTGTTTGGAACTGGGAATTGAACCAAAGGCCTTTGCACTGAGCTATATCCCCAGCCTTTTAAAATTTTTTAAAATTTTAAGACAGAATCTTGATAAATTGCCCCTGCTAGGCTTGAACTTGCCATCCTCCTGTTTCAGCCTCTCAGACAACTGGGATTAGAAGCATGTGCCACCGCTCCTGGCTTTTCCAGGTCTTTCCAGGGAATCTTCACTGAGTTCTTGCACAATAGCTTGAACACATCAACAATACTGAGGTCTAATGGTTTTGAAATACTTTCCACTTGCCTATTCAAAATGCACCCAAAGCACCTTTGGAATAATAAAGAAATGACATCAAGTGCTAATTACTGATGAAACCAAAGTGATAAATTTTATCTAACATGATTAAGACATGGGAGAGGAACCCATTAAAAAGTTAAATGTATGTTTTGAAAATGTCTTTTCTCCTCGTTTTACTAAAATGCAGTACTTTTCAGTACCTGACTGCAGCATAAGTTGCTAGAAAACTAGTTTATAGAATTTGCATATAACAAGAACTCAGTGATTTACTATTTTAGCAAATGTATAACCTGATTATTTGTATTCTAGCTATCAGAGACACAGTATGTCAGATGAGAAGCTTGATATACAATGAATTTTTGTATTTGGAAATAAAAAATCTGCTTTTACTAATTTTATACTAACTAAAGGTTATGTTCTCTTATCTCAGTCTATCTGGGTTTTCCTCTTCAAATGAAATGCTTGTAACCTGCAAAGGTTTATAAAGGGTTATCCCTGACTAAAATAACTGCTTCTATCAAGGGGAAAATTTTGTGGAAGTGACTTCTATTTGAAGTTGCTAAAGTTAAGTACAATAATGTCACATGTACTTACACAGTAATTGTGGGCACGCCTAAGTCCCTCCCTCTTTCCTAACCCAAATTCCCCACATCCTAGAAATCCAGCCCTTCTGCCCTCCGGAAGCGCCTTTCCCAACGTAAAGTACATTTTAAAATTTAAGCTCCTGACTAAAATAATGCTCCGCAGCCCTTTGCTAGGGAATCTGGGCGCCCTGTGCCTCTGGAGGGTGCACCGGGGTGTGGGGAAGGGCAGGGGGAGTGGGCGAAGCAGCTGGTTGGTGCCTGAAATCTGTGCGTTGCCCCTTTAATTGCGTCCCCAGCCCTCGGGCGTTTCTGTCCAACGCCCACGTCAGCAAATACCTTTTGTTTCTCTCACATTGGGGCTACTTGTTTTAGGGCGCAAAGGATCGGCTTCGGGAGTGGGTCTGGCCCTTGCCAAAAACCAGGAATCGTCCCCGACCCGCGCGCGGCCAGCCCGTGCGCGGCGACCCGCGGTAAGACGCTGCGCTCGGCGCGGGCGGACGGAGGGCGGGCGGGGCGTCGGGGCTGCCGGGCCGGCCGCGAGCCCTGGCGGGCTGGCGGAGGCGGAGGGAGGCGGAGGACGGCGGCGCGGGCTCGGGCTCGGGCTCGGGCTCGGACGGTCGGCGTGGGCGTCGGGATGCGGCCCCGGGCGCGCAGCCCACAGACGTCCGGGCCGGGCGCGGTGAGAGGCTCAGAGCAAGCGGGCGCCATTTGCAGCCCGGGGCGCAGCGCGGCGGCGGCGGCGGGGGCTCCGAGGACTGGGGACCGTCACAAAGGAGGCGCTGTTGGAACGGGCCTCGGGGCGCCGGCGGGCACCGGCTCTAGACCGCCTCTGCCCGCGCCCGGCCGCGCCCTGCGCCCGCCGGTGGCTTCTCCTGCGAGCCCGGGAGGGGCTCCGGGACAATGGCCGCGCCGTCCGCCCCCGCGCCCGCCCCGCAAGCCTGGCCCGAACCGAACCCCGGAAAGGCGGGAAGGCGCGGAGCCTCCTGGCGGTGGCGGCGGGAAGGCGGCGGGGACGGAGCCGTCGGGCGCCGGCGCGGGCCGGCGGCGGGGGACGGCGGCCTCGGTGGGGCGCGCGGGGCGGGCCCGCTGCTTGGCGAGGGGATCCCGGGTTAGCAGCCCGAGCTGAGCCCCTCAGCGCGACCCCTGGTTCTATCAGGACGCGATCCTTCTGAGCTCAGAACGGAAGGGCGAGACTGCACGTAACAAGCTCGGAGCCCGACCGTTCCTGACGGATCCAAACCATAGGTTCGCATCTCTACCCAGAGAGCCTGTCTCTTTTGTAAATTAGTCAGCGTTTCGGGTTTCTTCTCGTTCACATGTCCTTATGTATCCTTAATTGTACCAGTAGCCATATTCCATCTCTTTCCACGACGTGTTTGGAATTAGCTTCACACCTAGTGGAATCCTAACCACACACACCAATCTCACTTCCGTTCTTAAAAAAAAAAAAACCTTTATATTTGCATAACTTTATTAAGTAAACGGAGTGTTTTCACCTGTATGCAGTCTTTCATCTAATTTCACATAAAGCTACCTAGTCAGGCTATTGATCTCCACTTGGCAGAGGAAACGTGCTAGGCGCAGTGTGGGAACTGAGTGGTCAGAACTTCCTACTGAAGCTTTAAAAACCTTCACCTGTCTTTATCATTTAAATCATATTTTTAGGGGGTTTTTTTGGTACTAGGGATTGAACTCAGGACCTTGTGCTTTCGAGGCAGGTGGCGGAACCACTGAACTAAATCCCGAGCCCTAAATCATATTTTTAGATAAAACAATTTCTAATAGCCTTAATTCTTTCAGTGATATATGTTAATATTTAAACGGTTTGATGTAATTTTTTTTTCAGTACCGGGGATCCAACCCATGGTTGTACATGCTATGTGAGTGCTCTGCCACTTACCTTTTATTTTATTTTGAGGCAGGGTCTTACTAAGTTGGTCAGGCTGCTCTTTAACGTTCTTCCTGCTTCAGTGTACTCTGTAGCTGGGATTACAGGTGTGTACCACCATGTCTGGCTCTGATGTGGTTTTTCATCCTGTCCCCCAAGAGAGGTGTTTTTTTTTTAATTTTATTTTATTGCTGCATTTTAGGTATACAATATAATGACATCACTGGAAATTTGCACCTTTACATAATCCCTCTTGGTTCTTATTTTTTCCCCCTGCCCATGGCCTCCCCTCAACTCCTCCATCCCTTCCTATTTACACTTTGTTTCCATTTTTTCATTTTTGCTTATTAATTCCATTCCCTTCTTTCCTTTCCCCCACCCCGCCAAGAGTTTTTGTTACTTCTCTGCTCTAAATTGAACAGTGGTTTCCCATCTTCAAGTGGCATCTTACAAAGAGATGCCAAAGAAATGCGCCATAATAGTCTTCAAAGACTTACAAGAACCGTTCTCACATGTTCTCTCACCTCACAATCTGCCCTCTCTGTGACTCCATCTCCCATTGCTCTTCCTATCCCTTTTTGATGTTCCAACATCTACTTGCCTGATCTACCTCTGGGCCTTTGTACTTGCTGTTCATTTGCCAGAAATTCTCTTCCCTCAGACAGACAGAACTCTTACTTCCTTTGGCCTTTACTCAATTACCATCTTTTTTGTTTTTGTGTTTTGAGACAGTGTCTCACCGTGTAGTTCAGGCTGGCTTTGAATTCACTATGTAGTCGGGCTGAGGATTTAGCTCAGTGGTTCTGCTGCCTGCCTCACAAGTGCAAGGTCCTGAGTTAAAAGAAACTCACTATGTAGTCGGGGCTGGCCTTGAACTTGTGACAATCCTCCTGCCTCAGCCTCCCAAGTCCTGGGCTCACAGATGTGTCTCATTACACCTGGCTGTAAATATCATCTTCTCAGTGAAACTTTCCCAACTGTAATTTTGATTCTCTTAATTTTGTTTTGTTTTGTTTTTTAAGACAAGGTTTTGCTATGTAGTTGAGGCTGGCCTTGAACTCACTGTGGAACCCAAACTAGCCTAGAACTCACAGTGAGCCTCCTGCCTCAGCCTCCCAGTGCTGGGATTACGGGAGTGCACCACCATGCCCAGCTTTTTTTTTAAACAGAAAAAAAGCTGGCCTCCAACTCATGTGCTCAAGCAGTTTTCCCCACATACTCTCAGGTAAGCTGGCTTACATACACGTGGCACTGCACCCAGCTCTTAAAAATAAATTTTTGTTTTACTTAATTCCAAATCATTCCTGTCTGAATCCTTTTATGCTGCTATAACAAAACACCTGAGAATGGGTAATTTATAAAGAACAGAAATGTATTTCTCACAGTTGTGAATGCTGGGAAGTCCAAGATCAAGCCATTAGCGGTGCCAGTGTCGGGAAAGCCTTTCTCTGCTCTCAAGATGGCACCTTGAATGGAAGGGACAAAAAAGAGACTCCCTCAAGTCCTTTTATAAGGTTTTGAGAGCCCTTCATGAGATGCTCATGGCCTACTAACCTAAATTTAGGCTCTGCCTCTTAATACTGTTGATCTGGGGAGCTGGGGATTTAGCTCAGTGGTTTTGCCACCTGCTGTGCAAGTGCAAGGTCCCGAGTTCGATCCTGGGTACAAAAAAAAAAAAAAAAAGCAAAGATCTACAATTTCAATAAAAATAGAAGCATTTTTTTTTCTTAAATTCTTCTATTGGTACATTTTAGGCATACAATACTTTTACATTTATCATTGGGTGCTTGTACCTGTACGTGATGTATCTTGGTTCTTATTTTTTCCCCATTACCTGTGCGCCCTTTACCCCTCCACCCTTCCCTATTTACATAGACTTCGTTTCCATTTTTTTTTTGTCTCCTCTCATAATTTTTCCTTTCCATTCTTTCTTTTCCCCATCTCCTCCCACCACCCCTACCCCTTTGGACCTTTTCCTATTTCAAAGTATCAATTATTAGTTATTAATCCTTTTAATCCTTATTTACACTCTCAGTTTCTCACACTAGAGAAACTATTCGGTATTTACACATGTGTGTCCTATTTATTTCACTTAAGAGTATGGCCTCAATATGCATCCATTTAGGTATGAATGACTAGTTTCTCGTTCTTTATGGCTGAGTGATACTGTACTCCATTTTATAAAAAAACCATGTGGTATGATTCTTTTAATTCTTTTGGGAAAATGCCCAGCAGGGGAATAGCTGGGTCAAATGGGACCACGAGCCCTAGTTCTTTGAGGTATCTCCACACTGATTTCCATAGTGGTTGCACCAGTCTGCACTCCCACCAGCAATGGAGAAGGGTTCCTTTCTCCCCACACCCCCGCCAATATTTGTTATTCGTTGATTTCATGATACCAGCCATTCTTTGTGGGGTGAGGTGGAATCTCAGTGTTGTTTTCATCTGCATCTCTCGAATGACAGGTGATGTTGAACATTTTTTCATATGTTTATTTTTTATTTTTTAATTTTTTTTGGTACCGGAGATTGGGTCCTTGCGCTTGCACAGCAGGCGGTGAAACCACTGAGCTAAATCCCTGGCCCTACTGGGCCCTTTTTCATATGTTTAATGGAACCATCTTTAAAAAAAAAAAATACTGTTGCTCTGGGAATTAAGTTTCAACATGAATTTTTAAGGGGGCACAAACATTCAAACCATAGCTCTTAAATGTCTTTGTACTTAATTATAAATCTTCCTAGAATTAAAAGATGTTTATCCACCAAAGGATATAGTTATCATTCCAGTTAGCTAGTTTATAATCCAGAGACTTTTGCTAAAGAGGCTAAGGAGATTTGTTTTGGTGGCCCTGGTGGGACACACTAAGTTCTAGATTAATATTAATGTTATGTATCTTTAAATAGCTGGTCTTCCAGAGCACAACTTTAAGTTATACTTTTTTTTACCTAAATCTTCAGTCTAATCATAGAAATACATGTCTTTTCCTCCTGTTCCAAAGACCTTTAAACCTAATGGTTCTTAAAATATGTAATTGTCTTTTCCACCCACCTTTTTAAAGATCATTGAGCTTAATGGGGATCTTGAATTTTATAATATTCTTAGGACTATTATAGGCATGTAACTCTTATTAAAGACATTTTAAATGTTTCCATTTGACTTTTAGATGTCTCGTTTGAAGTAGCCTAATTTGCTGTTTCAACTGACAAGACCCGTCTATTGAAGAAAACCTAAACTGTATTGCCCATTTCCATGGCTTAATCACATATTCTGAAAATTAACTTTTCTTCTTTTTTTAAAAAATTTTTTATTTTATTCCATTCCCCCCAAGCCCCATCCCCTCCCTATGTACAAAAGCTTTGTTTCCATTTTTTCCTTATATTTTCATGTCCCTTCCTCCTTCTCTCCTCCCTTGTTCCCCTTCCCATTTGAACACTTTCTTCCCATTTCCCAACATCCATTATACATTTCAGTCCTTATTTCCACTTTCGGTTTCTCACACCGGAGAAACAATGTGATATTTAAACACGTGTGTCCAATTTATTTCACTTAAAGAGTATGGTCTCAAAGTCCATCCATTTAGCT